TCAGCAACGTTTTCAATCTTCGCTTCTTTTGAAGGGAATATAAAAGTCCAATTGATCTGTGAGAGTGTGTGTAAGTGGATGTTTACAGCTCGTCGGTTTGATTATGTGTGTGACTGTCTGTTTAGACAGGCTTCCTTAAAGTAGTTTGACAGGAAACAAATTGTAGTTTTTATTTCTGTTGGTATTAATTATAGTCTTTGAAATGGCTTTTGTCTGCTGCATTTTACTGTCCTAAGACACATTCAGAAGGGCTGTATTGTTCTCGAGTTTGATTGTTGACTGGAGTTTTTCATTATTGGTAGCTGATGAGACTTAAACAATCAGTTAACAATGGGCTTTTTTTTCCAGAAATGGTTGTTCTTGCTTTATCCAACATTCTAGTCTGTATTTTCATTGTCTTTTTAGTCTTGTTTACATATCAAAAGTCAGGGGCTGAAAGTCAAAAAGTCTCTGTAGCACTTTTAAATCAATAAGGTGTACTAAAAACTGTCCAGTCACTTCTCTTAAAACAGTGTGTTCTGTTGCGTGATCTGATGCAACCATAACCTTAAGATTAGAAAGAAACGGTCATGCAAAGCTTGACAGTACATCTATTAGACCTTATCATATGGATTCCTCCCTGTGATCAATTTGGCTGAAGCCATTTTAACAGGATTCTTAGCTTATGTCCTGGTCAAGTCCAAGGCCAGATGTATGTGATTTATTTTTAACAGTAGCCTAAAGCTCAGAAAACTTGTGGTGTTTAAACCTTAACTATCTCTTAAAAGACTAAACCACTCTTTAAAAAAGCTTGGGAATGCCCTGATCCCTTATTGTTGCCCCTTGTCATTTAGTTAGCGGCAACCCACCGTGCGAACTTCGCACCCTACATGCTGTTTTTGGTTTTGTTAACGACCATCTCTCAGATGATCTTTCTTACGCCTGCCAGCCGTTCTCCCTTTTTCACACTTCTACTCTTTTATAGGCCATGTTTGAGGACAAGTCCAGGCATATCCTCATCTATTAGTGACACTGTCCCAACATGAAAGATAGGGTGAAGTCCTCAAGCCTGCAGGCTACATGCTAGCCAAGCTCTGGCTTGATGGACCATATCATGTCTTATCCAAACATGGCAATGGATATGATTGTATCTAACCTCTGAGTGGTGGATTCTGGATTATAGTACATTTTTATTAGACATTTACCAGTAAGATATGTTTGTAGAATAGCCTACACAATGATATGAGTTGAAACCATGATATTAGGCCTCTGTGATTCACACTTGGTCTCATTGTGCTTGCCCCTTTCTAATGATAAAATGTTTCTTTATAAAAATAGACCAACATGGTGGCACACCACCTATTAAAAAGAAGCCAAAAAAGATAAGGAATTAATTAACCAGACAAAGGAGGATGAGTTAATAAAAATGAAAGATAAGCCAATGCATGTTTAAGAAATGCTTAAACTGTATAAGATTGAGACTTTTAAACTTGAGGGTAGATGTTCTGCATGCGTCTTTGTTGTCTCCACCAATAAAGTCTAAGCTTTGGCACCTGGAACTCCGTGAATCGAGTGACTTTCTTGTAAAGAAGAGAAGATCTTTTCCACGACGCAAGTAGCAGGAGCATTATCAAATTTTTATTGCTATGGAAGCCAAATCCAACGTGCATGTGGACATTTTCACTTTGGTTTCCTTTCTGTTATAAATTGTAGGCTAATTATCACCAAATTTGAAGAGCAGAGCAATTGTTCGACAACTGTGCATTGACGGGAACCGTTATTTAGTGCTTGAATGTCTGCTTGAAGTGCTTGGATGTTTATTAGTTGATTTTGTATGTACTATATGAGCCATCTGTTTTCCTGTTTGTGATGTCTATGATTTGTTTGTTGCTGCATTATTAGCCCATCACTGGAAAAACACAGATTGATTTGGCTCTCATCTTTAGTTGTTGTAATTCTATCTCGTTCATATCACTAATAGCATGCTGAACATGGAAAGACAAAGCAATGCAGAGAATTACACAGCTGGGACAGATCAGATGTGGCTCTTGTGCTGGCAGCAAAGTGAGTGTTTCAGAAAGCCAGGTCCCGAAAAGCTGAGGAATAATGAGCACTTCCTTAATTAGACTAATGACTTTTACAATTGGTCTTGAACCAGCAAGCAGGGCATCACTTGTCATGTTGGTGGTGACCCAACAGAATAGATGCACTGATTTTTGTTCTTTTGGTCCCAGAAGCCTGGAGTCACCACCTGGTTGTGCATGTGTATGTGTGTATGTCAATGGCACATGGGTCATTGCTGATCTGTATCCAGGCAGCTGTCATTGTTTTGTACTTGAGAGCTCTCAAGTGTTCCTCTGGTAAAATGAATTTTCAAGCCACAAAATGCGTTCTCGTATCTTCCTCGATGTTACATCTTGGATATTTAATATGGAAAGCATTACCATGTGTCCCACTTATGGCAACCTGTTCTTGAACATGATTACATGATTACCTGCCCTCTATCAGCATGGATGATATAATTATATGATATAATTACTCCCTCATCATAGCCTACTAACTGATAACTACATGGTCTCAGCGATGTCCACATGATTGTGATTGGCTACAGAAAACTACAAAAAATAGAACAATTGAAGTCTTATTGCTTTGGATGAGTATAATAACAAATCTAAAGACTATACAGTATATATAGATTGTCAATGGCAATTTTTTTTTTATTTACCTTTTCTACATTAAAATAGTGTAATAATGTAAGTAACCATCATTTTATGGCAGTACAAGGTAGTTTTCAGGAAATTAATCTTTTTAATAATTAAACACTGTTGTAAAAGTTGATATTGTGGCTTTATATATTGTCAGACACTTGTATGCGTCATTAATATATTAACATTTTACCAAAATCAAGCTTAAATGGAGTTTTTGACCCGTCGACGTCAGACATATTTTCTCTGTCATTTAAAACTGTTGTATTTGAGGTAGTAAGTCCATCGCATACAATTTTCATCATCTTACAGGTTATAAAGTTTATTGTAGCTTTTTTTTTCTGTCGTTTGGTGAAGTGTGCACTGGCTATTTATGACAGTACTGGCTGTGACTTGACAACATGTTAGTCACAAACTCCATTTTATATTTGTTAAATATAATAAATATTGCAAACCCCATACAGTAGACAGATGGAAAGGGTGACAAGAAGTAATGCTTTATAAAATAAAATATGAAATATGAGATACAAGGTTTCTGCCAGGAAAACAGCAAGGATAATGCTATGTAATTTATAAAATAAATTTTTTTTAGTAAAATATTTTCTATTAAAATCTATCTATCTTGAATGATCTACTAGGGTCCTTTGAGATTCTTGGCGTTTCTTCTGTGAGATACCTGGGTCCTGAGCATTGCAAGTGTAATATTTAACATATAAATCGAGATGATGTTTCCGAGCTGTTGTGTTAGGGGGGCTGGACGATGTTTAAACAAATGTTACACTGCCACACCCACAGCACTACATTGCTCAGTGGATCTCCACCTTGTTTTTGGTGGAGTACAATGACAAATCCATCCTTGACATTTCAAACCCCTTTCTCTGGGTAAGCCAGCGTACCTCACTTTTGTATTTGCTCTGTTGTAAGTGTCTATTGATTGCTGGCTAATCGTAGTGAAGCAAAAGCTGAATTTGTTGCACGACGTGCTAAGGCTCAAACTTTGATACCTTTTTCCACCCTATGAAATGTCATAAATTCAAATGCAGTGTTATAGCTTTTACATGTTTTGTGATTTCAAGATTGCTGGGCCAGTATACAGAAGCTATTTCGGCAGAGCAAATTCACCACAGCAGGATCATTACATTTGGCCCAGACTGTGACAGTGACATCTGCAACTGCAATCATGTGTCACTTGTGATCGCTAGATGTAGTGCTTGAAGAGCTGCCGTCAGCACATTTACCTAGTCTTGCCTCCCAGGTGGGAGATGGAGGTCTGTGGCACCTCTTCTGTACTGCCTGTCCATGGCGTTGACCCAAACAATTCTTTCTGTTTAGATGACTCCCACTATGACAATCCGGTTATGTCCCAACTGAAGTGCCTTGATCTAAAAAGACAAATATATATACAAATATGTATAAATAATAATTGTATTTTTTTTAAACAAAAAGAAAAATAAGTATTAACAGGTTGAGGATACTTTTTATTTCCATTTGCCTTGACGACATAATGCTGAAGTACTCCATTATAGCCACGTCTTTTTTGGTTTGTCTCTGCATTTGGCAGGTTATTGGGGCTCTGAATGTAAAGAACTGTGTAAGTGCTCCTGTGAGCTCTTGTCATCAATTGTCCAGAGGGTTCTGTTCTCTTTCGTAGACTTCTACAGGCCTTAATTTGTTTTGGTATCCACAAGGTATCACCCTGTTAATGGAGTTGTTAATGAAGTCTTTTTAAAAAAATTTTTTGAGACTTTATGAGATGATTTTTGTAAAGCAGCCAATATCCATTGCTTTTTTATTAAGGGCGGTTTCCCTGGTTGCCTAATTAAAACTGTATCTCTGAATCACTTACAACAGCTTTCATCTGTGTGTGTAAGTGTATATGTTCAGGGATTAGAATTTGATGCCTTATAGGGTTGAATCAATAGAAAAAGTTTGACTTTGATATGTTATCAGCCTCTCTTATTCCTTTGCATTGATACCTTTATCATAACACAAACAACCCTGGGCAAGTTATGAAATGAAATGGGGATAGGTTTTGCCATATTAATCAAATACTTGATAACTTTTGCTTTCACACAACCCTTACTGTACTGTAAAAATTCCAACAGCCAATGCTAAGTCTTTCATTTTGATGCAAAAAAATGTATCGATTTTATAGTAGTTTTTGATCAAACTTTTGATCGAACAATATTCTTAGATGTTTCATAGATGAAAATGTAGTGGATTCATTGTTTCTTTATGTAAAGTATTTCTCTTGTAGTTATTTATTTGTTTATTTTTTTCAAAATCTAATTGTAATGTCTGTTTTATTTTTTGCAGGGTCAGATCCAGGCTGGGCAAACCTGAAACCTACAATATTTCTGTGTCAAAGTGCCCCTGAAGAGAGGAGATGGGCTGGAATATTACCACCTGCAGCACACCCGCCTAAGGGACTCCTCTCCCCCACCCTCAAACCCCAAGCCTCTGCCAAAATCATGAATGGCCAGATGACTGTGGATTTATAGTTTGATCAAGGGGATTGGACATACTAACCCTACATGGAAAAAGAAACCCTAAAGCAACTTTAAGGATCGTTAGAAATAAATTATTTTCCAGGCCTGAAATCATTTGAATGGAACCTCAGCCCAGCAGCTTTCAAACTAGAGCTTCTGGGAATGGCAAGATGAGCGCTGTCATTCGATAATGATGGCAAAAAAACAAGATGCCCGGGCACCAACCTACAACCTTGTTGTGGTAGGTTTGTCCGGAACTGAAAAGGAGAAGGGGCAATGTGGGGTAGGCAAGTCCTGCCTTTGTAATCGCTTTGTTCGCCCCAGTGCTGATGACTTTTATTTGGACCACACATCTGTTTTAAGCACAAGTGACTTTGGTGGTAGAGTGGTAAACAATGACCACTTCCTGTTTTGGGGCGAGGCGGTACGAATGTTGGAGGAGGGCGCTGAGTGTCGAATGCATGTGGTGGAACAGACAGAGTTTATTGATGACCAGACGTTCCAGCCACATCGAAGTACTGCCTTACAGCCCTATATCAAGCGGGCAGCTTCCAACAAACTGGCCTCTGCTGAGAAGCTTATGTATTTCTGCACAGATCAGCTTGGACTAGAGCAAGATTTTGAGCAAAAGCAAATGCCTGAAGGCAAGCTTTTAGTGGATGGATTCTTACTCTGTGTAGATGTGAGCAGGGGTATGAACCGGAACTTTGATGACCAGATGAAGTTCGTCTCCAATCTATATAACCAGCTAGCTAAGACCAAGAAGCCAGTTGTACTTGTGTTGACCAAGTGTGATGAAGGGGTTGAGCGGTACATCAAAGACTCTCACACCTTTGCCTTGACCAAGAAGAATTTGCAGGTTGTCGAGACTTCAGCACGCTCCAACGTCAATGTTGACCTTGCTTTCCTTACCATGGTGCAGTTGATAGATAAGAGTAGAGGGAAACCCAAGATCATCCCTTACTTTGAAGCCCTCAAGCAGCAGAGTCAGCAAATAGCATCCGCTAAGGACCGCTATGAGTGGCTGGTTAGTCGCATTGTGAAGAACCATAATGAAACATGGCCCAACACCAATCGTAGAATGCAGACATCACCTGAATACAAAGAGTATGTTTTCCTTGAGGGTACTTCCAAGGCCAAGAAACTATTCCAGCAACATGTACACAGACTCAAGCAAGAGCACATAGAAAAGCGGCGTAAAATATATCTTAGCACACTTCCACAGGCTCTCAACTCATTGGTTCCATGCCTGGAGGAGATTGACCACCTAAGCTGGTCAGGAGTACAGAAAGTTCTCGAGAATAAGCGGGAATTCTCTCACTGGTTTGTCATATTGGATGACACACCATGGGAAATAACACCACACATTGACAACATGGAGGATGAACGCATTCCCCAGGACCTTTTGGAAACCCCTGCAGCAGAGGCAATCTATGTGAGTCACTTAGAACACCTGCGCAATGAGCGAAAGAGAGCCGAAATGCGTTGGGAGTTCAAAGAGAAACTTGCATCCTCACTATTTGTTACACCCGGCAAACCCTGGGAGGAAGCTCGTAGCTTTATCATGAACGAGGAGTTTTATCAGTGGCTGGAGGAGCCAGAGTACCTTGATATCTATAACAAATACCAGAAGATTATTATTGACCAAGCCAAAGAGGACTTCCAAGAACTTTTACTGGAGTACTCTGAATTGTTCTATGAGCTTGAAGTTGATGCTAAGCCCAGTAAAGAGAAAATGGGTGCCATCCAAGAGGTTCTTGGAGAGGAGCAGAGGTTCAAGGCCCTCCAAAAGCTTCAGGCTGAGAGAGATGCCCTAGTGCTCAAGCATATCCATTTTGTATACCACCCAACTAAGGAAACCTGTCCTTGTAGTCCACATTGTGTGGATGGCAAAATTGAGCAACACTTAGCCCTTCGTTTTCCCACTCGATATTCCTTCGATGGGAGCTCAAAATCACAGTTTGGTGAGGGAAAGGTAGATAGAATCAATCTTGTAATTCTTGGCAAAGATGGTCTTGCAAGAGAGTTAGCTAATGAGATCAGAGCACTGTGCACCAACGATGAACGGTACGTTCTAGATGGAAGGACATATGAACTGGCTCTTAGACCTATAGAAGGAAATGTACGCCTTCCAGTAAACTCCTTCCATACACCCACTTTCACCCCACATGGTTGCATCTGCCTCTACAACTCAAAGGAATCCTTATCCTACGTTGTCGACAGTATTGAGAAATTACGAGAATCAACCATAGGCAGAAGGGACACTAATCTAGGTCAGCTTCCCTTGTCTCTCCTGTTGGTCACCAAAAGAGGTGTTGGTTCAATTTCTGACATTGGGGGGGAAACAGCACAAAGCCTTATCCAACATGGTCAACAAGTGGCTAGCAAATTTCAGTGCAGTTATTTAGAGCCTGCTTCCCCAGGTGTGGGCTATAGTCGCAATATAAATGAAAAACATTTAAACCAGATCCTCAAAGGTCTGTTAGACACACGAAGACCGTCAGTTAGCCTTGGCAGTAGCTCCCCACCCTTGTTGCCTGCACTTGCAGGTTTCAGAGACTCTCAGCAGAGCACAGAGGCTGACTTACGAATTGTAATGTGTCTAATGTGTGGAGATCCTTATGATGTTGACCAGCTTCTTTCCCCATTCTTTCTGCCCCAGCACTGTCGTCCCTCTTCCAATTTATCCAGTGGAACATCAGTTTTGTTGGATTTATCTGTTGGTGGCCAAAGGCAAAGCATTGATCTCGCTGTTCTTTCTTACCACTCATCCTTTTCCTTACGTAAAAGCAAATTGGTGCATGGTTATATAGCAGTGTACTCAGCCAAACGGAAGGCTTCCATGGAAACCCTTTGTGCCTTCCTTTGTGAGGTCCAAGACATAATTCCAGTGCAGTTGCTTGCTGTTGCAGAGACTCAATCAGAACTCGCAGACTCTGATGTCAGAGAGCAGCTTGCTCAAGGGGAGGAACTGGCCCATGAAATTGATGCACGTTTCAGCTCTGTGATCTGTGGACCTGGTGGTGTGGTGGGAGGCTTGCATCGGATAGACCACTTCCAGCCATTCTTTAAGGAGGTATTGGAGAAAAAAACCATTGTAGAGGCAACACATATGTATGACAATGTTGCAGAGAATGTCACCAGTGAAAATGTTTCTTCACCTCGATGTGGCTCTCCAAGCACCACGTTGCTGGATTCAGAGGATGACATTGAGCCCTCCCCACCTTATCCCTCATTACGGGATGACGGCACCTTGACCCATGGTGGAGGTTTCAAGCTCCCTGATTTGGAGGGTGATCCCTTCTCGCTCATCTCTGACATCAACACTTTTGAAAACAAGCTTAACAACAAAGTCCCACCTCAGGTGCGACCAAAGCCCAATGTCACCTTTGACATTCCCAAATCCCAAAACAGTTCATACATGGACCTGGGCCTGGGCCTACATGGACCTAACAGGCGCTCATTAGTCACCTGGCCACCAGGAACTGAAGGTGGTTATGATCCATCTGACTATGCTGAGCCCATGGATGCAGTATCAAAGCCTCGTCCCACAGAGGAGGAGAATATTTATTCTGTACCACATGACAGCACACAGGGCAAGATCATCACTATTCGCAATGCAAACAAGAGTCATTCCAATGGTGCAGGAAATGGATCAGACAGCGAGGCTGATAGCAGTTCATTAGAGCGTAGACGAAAGCTGTCTGCTCTTGGAGTTAAACCTAGGCTGTATCGTGATCGCTCCAAACGACTTGGGAAGTTTAGCAGCTTCCGCACAAGCTTTATTGGCAGTGATGATGAGCTTGGAGGTCTCCCCAAGACTAAAGAGGATGAGCTTGGTGCACAGAAAGGGGACAGTTCCTTAAATGAAGAAGGCGAGGACCCAAAGAGGAGGAATATCTTGAGAAGTCTTGGTAGAAGGACTACAAAGGTAAATTTTATGGTATTTTAAAACACATATTTTGGAATTATGCTTTATGGTCTCACATTGTAAAGATCACATTTACAGGCAAACTTTATACTTTAAGATGATCTCAATTGAGTGAATTGATTCAAAATATTTGTTTATTAAATAAATCATATTTTTAAAAGTCAGTTTGGGCCCAACTACCCTTTACACTGGATGTGAACTCTGGTTGTTTTTCCACTTCTTTAGTAGAAACTGTGTGTTTTTAGATGAGATGAGCAAGATTTCCTGAGACACTACAATAGGCTACAAATAATGAATTAATAAGGGCTGTTTTCTTGTACAAAATTAAATATTTGACATTACATGTACAGTGTAAGACAAGAGGCTGGTTTTTCCCGGACATGTCCGGCTGTCGATTCAGCAGTCACCATTCATTGTTTACATGCACAGCTTTTGTTTCAGTCTAACTGAATTCATTCTGATTGGTGAATTTGAATGTAGTGTTTACATGAACCCTCGCGTCGTTCTCCTCACGTTCCCCTTGGCCTCGTCCTGCTCGCCTCAGTAAACATGATGAATGGCGACTGTAGAACGCAAAATTTTTGGGCAGACTCATCACGGAAACTTACTAGTAGCCTAGACTTGTTGTTTACCTACTGCGCTGTTACCGGTAGCCGTGGCCTCCTAGGGCAGCGAAGCAAGTGCATTCTGGGAGTTGTTGTCTTTCATCCACATGGCTTTTCTCAGTCTAGAAAGCTCCAAATTCAAAAATAATTTCACATTTCTTCTACATAAAGTACCCATTTTAAATGCACATTCATATTTCCAGAGGTGGAGTGACCCTTTAAGTTTATCTGGATGCCTGTGTGCCAAGCTTTGGTCAAGGTTGATTTTTGGTTGTGCTGTGGTGCATGTCCATAGTGGTTTCTTTTAAAGAGTTTAAGTAAGACAAAGCAGAGAGATAAGTCAAGTCTAACTCTTTTTTTTAATGGCGGTTGAGTGTTGTTCACTTGATAGTTTCTTCTACAGCATGGCCTTAACAATGCCTTGTAGGTTGCTTTCTATTTTAGAATTTTTGATGGGAGTACGACTATATCTGTCACTCCCATAAAACACTGTATTCATACAAGCAGATATTTTAGTGACTGCCGTTCTCTTTGAGCATGTGACAGCCTAAGGGCATATGAAAGCATTGAGCCACCAGTTCTTCTCATTGAACAGCAGTGTCTTTATTATTTCGGTAGGGTTAGAATGAGGCCATTGGGTTAAATCACCTTGCTTGCATTAATTGCCTTATGGGACTGATCCATAAAGGAACCCACAAAAAAGCAGAAGCCTAGTAGCCCCAGGGATCTGTACTGGTTTGAGCTCTGTCCAACAAAGACTGTCCCTTTTTTGATGTTAAAGGAGTTAGAATAAACCTTTGCTGTTTTTGTCTACTATGCCATCCGCACTTTCTCTCTCTTTCGTAGTATGTTGGACTGCAAGGCCGGAAATAGTAACTCAGCCTTTTAAAATAAATTTCCTCATCCAACAAGTGGAATGTTTTAAATTCCAGAGACACCTAGTTCCATTTCTAATGCCCCTGTGACTTTGCACCAGCATCTGCAAAGCGAATGGTTACATGATAGAGATACCAGGGGACTGGTTGCAATGAGAAGTTTCCCAGAACTGAATACTTTGTGCTCAGGTTAGTGAGGCATAAAACATAGCTAAACATTGTATTCAAATTGTCACAGTAAAGTATCCTGTCATGTCTGAAGTTGCATATGGGTGGAGTAGCAGTTATTAACATGATGTAACTGGTTTGCTTTGTGAGCCTTAGTCTGGGTTGCTGTGTGACCTGCATTGCAGGGTGAACACATTACTTTTGCATAACATTGCCATCCCAGTAATACTCTCTGTGAACTGTAATTGGAGCACAGATTCTTTACAGAGAGCTTGGAGAGGGGAGGGTGGTAATTATGTAAACGTCTATTGAGAGGAGCCAGTAGGGATTTAGGTGAAATCTGAAAATGAGGAGAGGAGATGTAGAAAAAAAATAAAAAGAGAGGGAGGCAAATGTGGCATGGTTCCTGAATTTGTGAAAAGCAGAGCTTTGACCTGCGGATGTACCAGGAAGCAGGGATGCCTTTTAGCTATGGAGCAGGAAGACTTGGGCCTAAAAATTGTCATGGTTTTTTCTCTTGTCTGACAGTACCGCAGACACTGGCCAACCAGCCATGATGCCCTTCTGCAGAGCATAATGGAGAGGGAGAAATGAGCAGTGTGTTCTCCTGCAGAACTCTAAACTCAAATGTCAAACTCAAATTCTACCTCAATAGACAATGTCACACTACTGGAATAACGTGAATGATTTGACCATGTCTAGGGTGGTCTCTAGGGTGGCAACCTGTCCCCAGTAAATATTTGGACACTTGTATGGCACTTAAAAACAAAATAATTTCATTGCATGAGATACAAAATATAAAACCAAGTGGCAACAAATAATGGTAACCTTTTATCAAACCTAGTCATTTCAATTTTATTGAACTGGCATCAAGGTGATTTTAGTGGATATATGAAGTCAGTTCTCAAGTTCAGAGTATCTACGTGTAGTTCTATGAACTATGAACATGTTCCACTAACCATGTTAAGATGTTAAAATACATTTTGTCTTTTAATTTGAACAATATAAGCGTTTCCACACTACTGCGTTTTCGTTTAAAAACGGAGACCTCTTGCTACGTTTGCACCTCCCGTCCAGACTAAAACGGAAAAAAACGAAGACCTAAACAACGGAGAAGTTTAGAAACGCTGCAGCTCCGTTTTGCGTTTTGAATCTCCGGAGGGCGTTTTAGTGTAGACGGGACAAAACGGAGGACTTTAGAAACGATGGCGCAGATGTGCTCTCGGCTCTATGATTGGGTGTCATCAGTCATGACATATCCTTCCCTGATTTGTCAGCCACTGTTTTCACCGGCACGCGCATGCCCTGTATTGGTGAATGGTCACATGATCCGCATTTTCAGTCGTTTTAATGTGGACTGAGATCAATGCTAATAGTCAGATAAAACGCTGGTGTGGGCGGAGATCGTATTCGTTATAATTCTCCGTTTTTAAATGAAAACGCAGTAGTGTGGATGGGGCCTAAGTATTGTTTTTCAAAGCCTGTTGATATTGTTTTGGATGCAATTATGCGTGGCTCAAGTTGCGTGCATTGCACCTAGCTTAGCTCTCGTCATTTTACCACAAAACAAAATGTGTTCCTGTCCTGTTTTGCAGAAAACGCGGCCAAAGGGTCGTCAGTCATCATTGTCCAAACCTCCGGAGAGTAACTACTTTGGAGTTCCCTTGGCCAACGTTGTCTCGGCTGAGCGGCCTATTCCACTCTTCATCGAAAAGTGTATCCGTTACATTGAGATTACAGGTAAGTGGCACATGGGCAACATTTTGATGTTTTATCTTTACATCGGAGTGAGGTATTGGAATTAGCTAAATGCTAACTCTTGCATACAAACATAAACAGTGTGACCAATATTTATGAAATGGTAGTTGTGAACTGACAGCTTGTGAACTGTCTTCAACTTAAAGGGATACTTCACTTTTTTTGGAAAAAGGCTCATTTTACAACTCCCCCAGAGTTAAACAGTTGAGTTTTACCGTTTTCAAATCCATTCAGCTGATTTTCTGATATTTAGAAGAATATCAGTAACCAGACAGTTTCTGGTCTCATTGACTTCCATAGTATATTTTTTTCCTACTATGGAAGTCAATGAGACCAGAAACTGTCTGGTTACTGATATTCTTCTAAATATCAGAAAATCAGCTGAATGGATTTGAAAACGGTAAAACTCAACTGTTTAACTCTGAGGGAGTTGTAAAATGAGCCTATTTCCAAAAAAAGTGGAGTATCCCTTTAAAATAATGTGCACCGATAGATAAACCTGCTGAAGAGTAATGGTAACAACAAAGTATGTACATTTCTGAAGCTAGTGGCTGTGGTCTTTAGCCTGCTTGTTAGTGTGCCTGTTGACGCTGGTTCAAATCCCACTCGGCATCCGGGTCAAGGCACCACTGCGAGTGATCCTAATGGCACAGTTGTAATGGTGCCATGACCTGAATGGGAGTGAGGTTTACTGAGTTGAGTGTAATGAAGGCAAGCTAGTATGAGCTATGTGAGTAAACCTCACTCCCCTGTTCTCAAGAGGTGTGCTAGCAACTGATGCTCAAGGCTGAAGTTAAATCCAACTCTTGAGCAGTGTAAGTAGAAATCTTAGCTGATTTAATTTGATCTAGCTGGTCTCCCAGCTTGACTAGAGAACCCTTGAAAACCAGCAAACCAAACCAGTCTGGCCAGACTGAGAAACCTATTAAAACCAACTTTTTGCTGGTTTGATGTTTTTGTCAACGGGGTATATATACACCTAACCTGTATGTTTAAATGAATTAATTTTAAAATATTAAATGATCCCACAGAGCTTAGTAGGCAAATAAGAGCCTTTTATATCTAGCATCTTATGGTAATGTAATGCATGTATGGAGGTATGTGCGCTTGTTAAGCGCGTAACCACGCAGCTGTGATTTGGGTCGGTAGCATTAGCGCCATTAGCTTCCAGGGATTAAGCTCATCAACTGCTCCGGCCGGTGTTTTCTGTAATGCTGAGTGTCCGAGAACACATCAGTATTCCCTCTAGGATGCTTTAGTCCATCTGTAGTTTGGATAAACTCGACACTGCGCAACCTAGAAAATGTGACACAAATGTGTTTCCTTTCATTCTCTGTGGCAGCCCTAAAGAAAAAAAAATCCACTACATGGTCTTATGTATTATTACATGCATACTATGCATTTCAGAGCCCTGACCCTTGAAGAGAGCACTCGACCCCACCCTTTGGATCATGTGTGTGAACCACTAGGGGCAGAGTGGAGTCAATGGACCTGTCGTTAATAGTTTTCTCAAGTCAGCTCCTGATCTTTGTTCCACATTTCCTTTTCACCCCACCCCTTTCCCACTTTTTTCATGTTCTGTTGTGTGTGTGTGTGTAAGTTGCCAAGCCCTTGCGGTAATTTTCTGCCTGATAACTCCCTCATTGAGATCGATATCACATAGCAGAAATTGTGAATAATCTTTCAGACTCAGCTCTTTTTTTTGTGCTCTGTGGGTGGAACTGCCTTCTACAACACCCTACAGCGTGATTTGCTGATAGTACTCACAGTGTGAACACTAGAGAATATGCACTCGCTCGCTCAAAACACCTTACCCATCAAAACAATACAACCTCACAACCTTATCAGAATCACACCGAATTGCTTTTACAAAGATTTTTGTTGAAAAATGCCAGTTTGATATGTCAAGCAAGTCCCTGCTAACAGATGTGCTTAGTCATGCCGGCTCAGTCTTGTACATAGCAACACTGTGTCTTTCACTGCCTTTTAAAATCTAAAATTACATTTAGCTGTATAAATTAGGGATAGGTCACAGTGGTCATGTAAAAACCAACTAGTTGGTTTATAAGGTCAGCTATTTAGATTTACTTTAGTATATATGGTATTAGTTTAAAGTGTCAAGCATCATCAAATAAATACAAATATTAAATTAAATCACAAGTGGAAGGCTATGTGAAGATGAGTTAATGTGAGTGTTGTATGAATTCTGAGGACGTCTACAAGTTCAGATTGTTTGGAAGCCTGGACTTGCCTAAAACAACATGCCTAATTATATATTTAGTTCACCCAAAATTAAAATTTTGTCATCATTTATTTGAAATGGAAATCTTTTATAATATTATCAACGTTTTTACTGTCACTTTTGATCAGTTCAATGCATAAGAAATAATGTCTTTGGAAAAACTAGCGCATGCCTAGTCTAAAACACTTCATTTTTTCAAAGCATTGTTCATCCAAAAACCATACACTAATTAATTCTGCATCATTTATTCACCCTCATATCGTTTCAAACCTGTTTTTCATTCTTTGTAACAAAGAGTTTTTGAAGAATATCCGACCCACGCTTTTCAGTAAAATAGTGAACGGCTGGGTTGTCAAGTTCTAAAATGACCAAGTTTATTTATTTATTTATGGAGGACGATTCACATCATTTTCTCCCATTTCTTCTTGTGTTTGATGGGGCAGAAATGAATGCACAGTCACAGCCTGTTACGTAACCTCACTTTTATATAGTTTCTATAGGGATCCAATTTCTGTCCTTTCCGTTCTGCCCTCTGGACCAAAATACTTGCATTCCTCTATTGTTCCTCTCATTTCCTGTTCATTCTTGTCTCTCACTTACATCTCAACATTTAACTTCTCTTTCCTCTTTATCCGTCAGTCATTTTCTCACTGCTGCAATGGGTTGGTTGGTTAAGGAACATGAGGTTTACCATAAAAACCTGAGCGTTGACAGCACCCGTTCCAAAATAGAGTATGGCAACAGGAAATACAGTATATAGTCCCAGCCCACAGGTAACTTAGGAGACCCTATTTTTAATATAATTCTCATTATGAAATGTACAGTAGGAATAGTTGTAGTTCTTCTAGAGAGGGATTGTGACAGCCGTTGGAGGAGGAGAAATGCTGAATTGACTGAAACTGGCCCCCGGAGGATGTGCTGAAGATGATGGCAGGAAGCGGCAGGAGTTTGTTTGGACATGTTGCGGGGTTAGCTGTGCATTAGTAGGGCTTTAAGCAAAAAGGTCATGGTGAGTCTCAGTTAGAGAAGCCCATGAGGCTCAAAGTGCTCTCCGTTTCTTGAAATGTCTTAACATGAGGCTCTCTTGATGTTGCTAATGGACAACATGAAGGCCAAAAGATTGAGAGGGATGGACATTTAAAGGCATGAGAAAAATTATATAATAAACTAACTGGAAATATGGTGACTTCCTTGTATTGTCCTTGACTGTCCTTCACAGGATGTTTCGTTTCTCCCTCAAATATTCCTGTGGCTTCTGTTATGTATGGATACTTCTTTATCAATTGGAAAGCTCATCGTAATGTTGTTTGTTCATTTTGATAAAATGAGCATCGAAACATGTGAGTCATTTTTGGGCTTTTCAATAAGGTTGATTTCTAGTAGCCTGGGGACAGAGTGAGGATTTCAGACCAGCTGATGAAACTGTCACTTGCCATTAATGGACCACTTTTATGTTGTCACTAAATTTAACCTTGTGAATGGTTTTCTCTCATGTTAAACTGTTGTTTTAGTTGTATGTCATTTTTTTTTCTTAAAAAGGCTTTGAAGCTGATTGGTTGACCAGCAGTGGTTTTATAAATTAGTGCATTTATAAGTTCTTTCTTAAATTGTAACGTAGAGTCCACACCCTAGAGGCTTAGTAACTTCTATCTAGATTGTAAATAACTGTACTTTATTCGATTGCAGTATTTGTTCTTAATGCACAGCTAGTATGTCGTAAACTCTTCTTAAAGTAATGTGTAGTTGCATATGATGTTTACCCTTAGCGATCCAATAGCAGCCTTTAAAGGGATAGTCCACTTTGAAATGAATTTTAGATATGTTTTAGCTTACCTCAAGGGCATCCAAGATGTAGGTGTCTTTGTTTCCACAGTATTTTCAATTTTGATATTTTTAGGTCAAACTGTTCTTGTCTGTCAGTCATATAATGGAAGTCTATGGGGTCCACCTCAAAGAGCATGCACAGAGAAGTCCAAATTAAACATGATTTAAGGACTCGTGAATATAAGTGCACGTTGATGGCCTAAGACGCGAAACGAGCGGTTTGTGTGAGAAAACTAACAGTATTTATATGTTTTACCTCTTCGCATTATCGTCTGCACATGCGCCGGAAAGCCCTGGAAGTGATCTCTCGTGCATGTACAAGAGGTTACAAGAGGTAAAAACGATAAAAATACTGTTCGTTTTCTCACACAAGCCGCTCGTTTCGTGTCTTAGGCCATCAATGTGTACTTACATTTATGAGTCATTAAATCATGTTTAATTTTGACTTCTCTGTGCATGCTCTTTGAGGTGGTGACCATAGACCTCCATTATATGACTAACAGACTAGAACAATTTGACCTAAAAATATCAAAATTGAAAATACTGTGGAAACAAGGGTAAGCTAAAACATATCAAAAATTAATTTCAAAGTGTACTATCCCTTGAAGTTGTGTTGAAATGCCGTGAATTTCAGTTTATACTTCATTCTAATTACTTTTGCCTCACATAAGTAAAAATAAGTTTCCATATTTCCATATTTTAGATTTTTGTATATAAATAACATACAGAAACTGTATTTGAAATGAATAAGGATCATTTTAAATCCTGATACAAAACATAAGAATTTACATTTATTTATGATTTTATTTGACAAGCGCAACGTGGACGAACGTTTAGACGGGTTCGTGTTGAAGAGCCACTAACAAAGTAATATATTCACATGATATTCTCCCTCTTAAAATTAGGGTTGGGTATCGTTTGAATTTGAACGATTCTGATTCCGATTCCGATTCCTTGTTTCGATTCCGGTTCCTAACGATTCTCGATTCCGATTCTTTTAAGAGGCAGGGTCAAAAAAGTTTAGCTAACCTTGCTAACCAACGGCCTTTCTGAAGGAAATACTCCTTCTGTCACAAATACTCCTTTTGTCACAAATTTTGCATTTTGCCGAGATTTCGTTATTTTTAGAAAAGTGAAGCCACACTTTGGACCGCCGACGTAAGGTACTCATGTTCGACTCGCGCGGTTATGCCAACACTTCCGGTAGACGCTTCTTCACTGGTGTTGTTCAGCGGTTTCTTCTTCCGCTCGGCGGACTGTGAATATCGAAACTAGGAATCGAAATTTTACTTTTGAGCGATTCCGGGAAAAACGAAAAGTTAGTCCCGATTCCAAACGATACTTGATTCTCGATACCCAACCCTACTTAAAATGTAAGCGAGTGTAAATGTCTGCAGCATTATTATCATACATGTCTAAATTATTGAAGTCTGTCAGGTAAAACAAGAGCTTATTGATGCAGTTCAGTCAGTCTGCTATTTATTCGAAATATTTGTAAATATTTAGTTTTTCTTCAACTAAGTTCAATGGTGGAAAAAAACGGTGCGTATTTATTAGTGTGCAAGTGCCCATCTTCGTCAAAACTAGGCTTCTTGTGCACAGCTGGTGCAACCGGTCCCAGGTGCATTGTGGCATTCTTAGATGTCAAAAGTAGAAATCTATAACATAGTATGAAAGTTGATCTTTCATGAGTTTTACGGCCCTTTCCTCACCATTTTTCGTTTCCCTCATGTTCTCATATTCCTCCGTAAACACACCCTTCCCTCTTTACACACATTTCCCTTCTTGCAGCTCTACAGAAAAAGCTTTTATGGATAATTGATCGGGAGAGGTGAGGCAATCAATGCGGTCTGCCTCGGCAACGCGCCGGCTCATTTCCGAGAGTGTCTCTCTGCGTCTCGCGCTGTCTTACTCTTTATCGATGTACTTGTTTTCTCTCTGCTTGTGTGAGATGGACCAAGCTGAGCCGTCCTCTGGCATCTGCGGGGCACAAGACACAAGCTCCTCTCTGCTCGTGGCAGCGCTCATTCTTTATGTATGACTGATAAGTCAAAGAGTGAAGATCTGACAGTCGGAGTGTGGTTGCACAATTAGCAACCTCAGATATAAATTAAATATGTGAAATTCATTGTACATTCTGAGCTGGAGATAACGCCATTGTGGCTCTTATCAAACTCTGAGATTGTAAATTGAATGGAGTGCAAAACTCATTTATTAATGTCAACTCTCTCTCCCACAGGGTTGAGCACAGAGGGAATCTACAGGGTGAGTGGAAATAAGGCGGAGATGGAAAGCATGCAGCGGCAGTTTGACCAGGGTGAGTCACATGACTTCGTCTCTTTAACTTTCTTTTTCTTTCAATCTCTCTTTTTTCAGTTTCTGTTTAGTGTGTGCTTTGTTGGCATGACACATATTTATAAATAGCACAAAACTTAAAGGAGTAGTTCACTTTTTAAAAAAAAAACTTGCTGATAATTTACTCACCCCCATGTCGTCCAAGATGTCCATGTCTTTCTTTCTTCAGTCGAAAAGAAATTAAGGTTTTGATGAAAACATTCCAGGATTTTTCTCCATATAATGCACTTTACTGGGTACCAAACGGTTCAAGGTCTAAAAGACAGTTTCATTGCAGCTTCAAAGCGCTTTAAACGATTCCAGATGATGAATAAGGGTCTTATCTAGCGAAACGATCGCTCATTTACAAAATAACTTAAAAAGTTTACGTTTTATAAGCACGTTCGTGACTCTCCTGCTCGAACTCGTTCATCAAAATGGATGAATCTTTTTTTCGAGTCATTTCGTTAGTTGAATGAACCAAATGACTCGAAAAAGATTTGTTCATTTTGTTCGAGCAGGAGAGTCACGAACGCACATCACAGAACAGAGCAAGGCGAGCATTTGTGCTTTTAAAACTTACATTTTTTTATTTATTTTTTAAGTGAGCGATCGTTTCTCTTGATTTGACCCTTATTCATCGTCTGGTGTCGTTTAAAGCCCTTTGAACAGTTTGCAGTTTGCACTGAAAGTGTCTTTTGGACCTTGAACCGTTTGGTTCCCATTAAAGTCCATTATATGGAGAAAAATCCTGGAATGTTTTCATCAAAAACCTTAATTTCTTTTCGACTGAAGAAAGAAAGACATGGACATCTTGGATGACATGGGGGTGAGTAAATTATCAGCAAATGTTTTTTTTTTTTTTTTTAAAGTGAACTACTCCTTTAAATCTAGTGAAGCTAAGAACATTACCAAACTATAATCAATGACACCCTCCACCTTCCTTCACTCTCTCCCTCTCTTTTTCTGCTTGTCTGGCCCCCATTAACTTCCACACACTCACATTACCCTGCTGTTGTAGCAGCATAATCTGAAGACATCTCATGGATATCATAGTACATGCAGAACTCTGTTACTCATATTTGCCTTGGGGAAAAGTTTGAGTGGGACCAGTCATTGTAGACCCGACTGACCTCGCTGCTTTCAAAGAAATGGCTGCTATTCCTCGGTGCATGGATCACATTTCCGTCAATGAGCGCATTGTAGAGCAGATAAGCTCAATTAACCAGGACTGATCCACAGCTATTGATCCTGCAGTGCCCACCGAGGGCCATTACGAAAGCATGTCAGAGCGCATAGAGTATGCTTGTATTATGTGCATACTTGAGAAGAGGCAGCACAGCGTCTGTTTTTGCTTGTTAAGTCATGCCTTGTATGTGTATAATATACTATAATAGAACATAATGTAATAATATTTGGTCACACTTTAGTTTAGGGTCCTATTCTCACTATTAACTATGACTTTTGCCTCAATAAACTCCTATTTAAGTGTAGGATTAAGGGATGTGGAATATTCATGCAGAATAAGGCATTAATATGTGCTTTGCTTTATATGCACTAATAAACAGCCAATATCCTAGTAATATGCAACTAGTTATAGTGAGAATTGAACCATAAACTAAAGTGTTATCTAATGGGGCACATTGCATTGATCAAAAGGGACATTAAAGACATTTATAATGTTACAAACGATTTCTATTTCAAATAAATGCTGTTTTGAACTTTTTATCCATTAAAGAATCCTGAAAAATGTTAATTTTCAACATTTATTTGATATTTAATTATCATGAATGTTTTTTGGATCACAAATCAGCATATCACAATGATTTCTGAAAGATCACGTGACACTGAAGACTGGAGTAATGATGCTAAAAATTCAGCTTTGCTTCACAAAGCAGTAAATTGCATTTTAAAATATTGTAATAGATGTTTAAATAATATTTAAATATAGATTTTACAATAGAAAACAGTAATATAATATATCATTTTAAATAAATATTTTATAAATACTAAGGTTTAGAGCTAATAGACATGGACAAATCTCTCATTTTGATTGTGGATGCATGTCTGTGTGTGTGTGTCACTATAGGACATTGTGTGTGTGTGTGTGTGTGTGTGTGTGAGTGTTTGCGCCGGAAGAGAAGGTCAGTTAATTACCAGCAGATTGGTTTGGGTAATGAACCGCGAGCGCACACGCTCCACTGATCTGGTCGGGCCCGGTTCGGATCGGCATGAGCTAATAGAAGGCGAAGGCTCGTGTCTGATCGATCAGAACCCCGCGCAGCCAGGTGACAATACAATTACGGTGGAAATTACTGTGCAGGTATGTGCTCGACGGCATCTCCGACAACTCCGGTGAGCAGGTGGAGAAATGTCAGAGCCTTCACAATCAGGGGCTACACAGCCGTTATCGATCTCTGATGAAATACAATCAGGATGTATGGAGCAACTGATCTGGGGTCAACTGGATTTAACACGCTATAATGAAAGATTACAATAGTAATGCGCATGTAGAGTGAAACGGGGAATGTTTTATAGCTTTATCTCTTAATCATATTGGCAGAACCTGAGATCTAATTTGTTTTGTTGGTTTAATCACCACTTGTTTTGTTTGAATCTCATAACCTCTCACCCTCTCCCATGCGCCAATTTCGCACCTGCACGCTAAGCACATATTCTCCAATTAGATACGCATTTCCCTGGATCAGCCGAGAGATTAAAAGATACTTCCAGACAGCAAGAGACGCGCTGTGTGAATGAAGGAGCTGCGTTTTGGAAGAAGCTGACTCTGATTTCGATTTTAAGAAACAGACTGTTTACGTTTAATTCAGATCAAGTACTTTTATAAATGTGTCCGTTTGCCTTTACATTCATCTCAATGGCAGTTACTTGGCTGGAACACATGTGCTTGGAAAGATTTGGAAACGGTGGGACTGATTTTCAGGACTTTCAGTCCATAGTGTATCTCGGGGTCAGAGTGACTCAAAATAATGGTGCTAGTCACATCTATAAATATATGAGTGTTTCTTCAAATATTGGCACTTTTGGCCCCGAGAACTTTCCCAAGAATGGTTTTCCCATCCAGTAATTAGTAATTAGTAATTAGTTTTTTTTGATAATACTAAAATCCAAATCAATTGACCCTTCGCGTGGAGCTTGATTGACAGGTAATCTGACCAATCATACTTCACCATCCGCCATTTTGTCCGACAAAGCAGTCAGGAGAGATAGAAGATTAGCATGAGAGGATTTGAACTTGAAAAACGAAGTGTACTGACGCCTTTCCGTGGAAAATTACATTGTTCATTCATGTTTATTTGATGCTATAAATGAACTAGAAGGAAGAGATGATTGGATCACGACTCACGAGCAGCTTTAACTGATGCTCTACAGTCGTCTGTCACGACACATTAAAGTGCCACAAAATGGTATTTATTTACCTTTTTTTTTACGGTATTTATTTATTTGTTTAAATTTCTTAAATTTATTTGAGACTTTGTTTAATATGTTTAATATCAAAAGTAACTGAAAAAAAACCTTGTCTGTCAGCATGTTGTCATGTTGTCTCCTCTCTGCTCCGCGATGTATTTTTCACTGCGTGAGAACATGTGAGAGTGGCGCGTAGGTAGTCGGACATAGCGACAGTAACTAAGGGGGCGGGTCTTTGCGAAGGGTCAATTGTTGAAAAGAATTCTGTGATCGAAATGCCATTATAATTTTTTGGAATAAAATGACTAATTTAATATCTAGCATTTAATTATAAATAAACACAATTAAAAACATTCACATTTTTTTGCATAACTTGGGAAATAAACAGCTTAATTGGAAATGATGCACCAATGATATTCATCTTGATTGCTAATATTCAGCTCAAGCTGTTCGCTGATGCTGTTTTTCCTCCCTGATAAGCAAATAAACCAAGTTTACAAACTGTTTTACCTAATAAACTATACCAATTTATACATATTATACACATGCAGTTTCTTTTACTTAGATGTATTATATTAATCGAAAGTGGTGACGAAATTTGTCACAAAAGATTCAGATTTAAAAATAAATACTGTTCTTTTCATCAAAGAATCCTGTTCAAAATCATCAAAATATCACTGTTCAACATTGATACGTTTCTTGAGTAGCAAATCAGCAGATGTATATGATTTCTGAAGGATCATGTATCGGATCATGTATCGGCTTTTATTTGTGTGTCTTTGTACGTATATAATGATGTGATGTAATTTTGCTGCCTATCTTGGCCAGGTCTCCCTTGCAAAAGAGATTTTTAATCTCAATGGGTTTTTACCTGGTTAAATAAAGGATAAATAAAAAAAATAAAATGTGACACTGAAGACTGGAGTAATTATGCTGAAAATCCAGCTTTGAACATATGAGACTACTTTCAAATTACTTTTAATAATATAGATGATTGGTAGCTTTTGAATAGTAGTGTAAATCACACAGTGAATATCGAAATGATTGCTTTATAACACGTTTTCTTTAAATTATCATAGTTTATCTGATAATTTATGTCTGTTTAAATAATTTGCACGGTGTTTGACAATGTTTGGGGCACGGATAAAACAATACAATCTGTGTGAAGTGTGAAAATTAGCTTTTATGCATAAGTATCGAAGATGTGATCATATAACACACTGAAAGAAAAACCGCTGAAATCTGTTAGTTTTAATAAAAATCAACCTCTGGCACATAAAGAAACGCCCATATGAGAGATAATGTTCACTTCAGCTGGTCACACCCTGAGAATGATCAGGGTGGACTTTTTTTTTTAGCTTGACTGTAATTTAACTACTTTAAATTGCAAGTAACTTGAGAAGCTGCAGTGATTCACAAAAGTGCCATTTGAAAGTCTAACCAAAGTCTCTCTTTGTTTCCCTACATTACAGACCCTAACATTGACCTGATCGAGAAGGACTTGTCTGTGAACACAGTGGCTGGAGCAATGAAGAGCTTCTTCTCTGAGCTGCCCGATCCTTTGGTACCCTACAGTATGCAGGTGGAGCTGGTGGAGGCCTTCAGTGAGTATATAAACACGAGAGAGGGCAGATATTGTAAAAGTGAAAGTGACATGACCCATGCTAGGAATTTGTCCTCTGCATTTAACCGTGCATTTAACCGTTTGAACAGTGAGTAACGAACACACGCACACAGAAATGTGGGCTGACATTTTTAGGTGCCTTGGTCAAGGTCACCTCAGTAATTAAAATCGAAACCTGCAACCTTCGGCTAATCTAACTAGAGATTAACTAACTAGTCTCTTGCTCTCTAACCATTAGGCCACGACTTCCCCCGTCACAGGTCTGTATATTTAGACCTGAAGACTCTCACAATCAATACAAACACTGATACAGGGAAGACTTTCCATGGCCAGATGTTTACTGTCAGAAAGCAATATGCTTGGTTGTAGTCCTCGGAGGTTAGTGTGCTCCGGAGATCTCCTCTGGTGAACCCGCTGTGATAGAGGGAGAAAAAGAAAACAAGGGATAAACCAGTGAGTAGAATAGGATCTACTCTAAGAAACATGCTGGCAGAAATGGACTGAGTGCGTTTTCCTGTTGCGGCATTTTACACAAACACACTCACTCTCTCAGTGTGAAGTTCATACATTGTCTACTCCGGGCATTGCTCCAACCCAAAGTGATGAGACTTAAGCATAAGACTGCCGTTAGTCCTACACTCCAGACTGTTTCTCAATAAACAAGCCCTCTCAAGTACTACCATGCTTCAAATAGTTTCACAAACGGCTGGCCTGATTCAGCAGAAAACGAATCGCACCACCCAAACCTGCACTGGTGTAGAGTAACACAAAAGATACATTTAGTATCCAATCTTGATGTCGGGTCACTCGATGTGCAGGTGATATTTTGGAATGTAATTTAAAAAATTGGTTTAGAAATTTGGTATAAATTGCATTTTTGTGTGTGTGCATTGAATCTATTAAATGGCAACAGAATTAGAGACCAAAATTCGAGCCGAATTATAGAATTTTTTTGATTTGTATGTTTTCTGATGAAAATGTGAGTGGATAACTATGGAGTGTTGTGGATGATTGCCTACACGTTGCTAATGTGTTTTTTGATGTGCTGGACATGTTAAATGCCAAAGATTAAAGGGATAGTTCACTCCACAATTAAAAATGTCAGGGTTTGTCTTGTCCATACAATTGAAGACAATGGTAACCAAAACTTTTTCTTCAAAATAGTGTATTTTATGTTCTGCAGAAGAACCTTCATTTTTAGGTGAGGTTCTAAACACAATAAATACTAGCAATATTCAGTAATAGTGATGCTTTCCTTTGCAAAACAACTTATAAATAGTTTAAAGGGATAGTTCACTTTGAAATGAATTTTTGGTATGTTTTAGCTTACCTCAAGGGCATCCAAGATGTAGGTGTCTTTGTTTCCACAGTATTTTCAATTTTGACATTTTTAGGTCAAACCGTTCTTGTCTGTCAGTCATATAATGGAGGTAAATGGGGTCCACTTCAAAGAGCATGCAAAAAAAAAAATCAACGTTGTCTATTGATATATCGAAATCGTCTTCCATTGCGATTTCCTGCATATCTAAATATGTTCAGATCTTCACAGTGAAATCTCTGTGTAAACAATGAGTGACGTACATGCGCGAGAGATCACTTCCTGTGCTTTCCGGCGCGGACCGAAAAAGTCCGAAAGCGTCCGCGCTCTCAGATCACTTGGACGAGTGAATAACGATATAAATACTATTCATTTTCTCTCACAAACCGCTCATTTCGTGTCTTAGGCCATCAATGTGTACTTACATTTACGAGTCATTGAATCATGTTTAATTTGGACTTCTCTGTGCATACTCTTTGAGGTGGTGACCATAGACCTCCATTATATGACTGACAGACAAGAACGGTTTGACCTAAAAATATAAAAACTAAAAATACTGTGGAAACAAAGACACCTACATCTTGGATGCCCTTTGAGGTAAACTAAAACATATCAAAAATTAATTTCAAAGTCAACTATCTCTTTAAGCCCAAATTAAAAGATTGGTTTAATGCAGGATTATTAAGAAGCCTGGGGTAAGAATGAGGAGAGAATGGAGAACAGACGGCAGGTCACCTGACTGCCGTGTCACTCTCCACAGGTGGTGGGCGGGGCTTTGCTCTTGTCCGTCTGTCACTGGACGCCGTGGCAACAGCCCAACAGGCTTGTTCTCTTTTAGTCTCTTAAACCTGCACTTCTTTAAGGCCTTTGCTTTGTTGATCTGCCATCTGTTTTACGTCTCGACGGGATATTTAGATTAATGCTTTTTTTGATTGCCAGTGGCTTCGGATATTTATTCTGATTGATTAGATGATATTTGCGTATTCAGTCTCAAATCAACAACGTCTAGGTAGGTTTTAATACTGATGTTTCGACATCACTTTACTACTGCTAGTACTTCAGGTCAAGGTTTTATTCAAATACCTAATGCTGAGTATTTATCCCAAAGTTTACTTCAGTTTTGATGGGACCACTTAGCACATGCGTACAGCTTAAAGCATAGCCTTATAAAGTAGGAATGCACCGATGTATCGGCCAATAATCTGTATTATTTTCACCATTGATTGTTTAAAAACAGCCATTGATCATGGCAGATTATATAAAACTGCAACTGTTAGAGGCAAGGAAATGTCTCTTAGTGCTGTCAAAGTTAAAGCAAAATTAACACATTAACAGTAAAAAAAAAAAAATACTGACTCCATTTAATCCTATTTGCAGAACGCCTTCCATAAACCAATCGCAAAAGAGCGTTGTGGTTAACTTCTGATAAGAAAAACTCTTAGCTTTCAAATTACGTCTATTTTTATGACTAAATTCAAACAATAAATGACGTTTTGACACTCTTGAATGTGACTTGACAGATTGCTGTAGGGCCTCAGTTCAAGTGGCAGCATGGAGCGAGTTTTTTCTTCCACTTTACTATGTTATAGAAAAAACATGCATGAACATTAAAAGTTATTAATGTATGTTGAAAGATACTGTGCAACTTGCTGAAAAGGATCATGTCAGATGTAATCACTCAATCTGTTTCAACTCTGGAAAGACGCCAATAACAATGTCGCTTAATGTTGCATTTGAGTTTTCCAGTGTTCACAGTTTGTTAGTTACCTATAAATAGAGAGGCTTAGTGTTAATTATAAATGTATCTTTGTATACGTTTGTCATGAAGACGCGCGTTTATGAAAACGTGTTTGTTGAAAGTTGTTTACTAGCATTTGAGTTTTTAATTTAAGTGTAATTATTATATCTGAAAAATAAATAGCAGTCGAATTGAATCGTTTGGGCTCTGTTGTTAATTTTAATCTCTAATATTATCATAATGCACCATATGAGATGGTTCTCTGTATAGTTTACACAATTAGAAAACTAACTAGCGGCATCGACAGATATCGTTCTGAATAATAAGTCTTCATTGTTGACCAACTAATTAATGCATAATAATTCGAGCTTACAGATTTATAATGCATTTATAAAAATGTCACTAATGTTAAATGACCAAAGACGCATTATGTCCGTCGGTTTTACTGCTTTTTAATGGTGCCCTCTTTGAATCGGCCTATATATATATAAAAGAGTATTCCTATGTAAATCTTATTAATCAACATTAGTAATCACAATTATAATATCAAGGGAAATAATCGACAATTATGATTGTCATAATCGTGCTGCCCTAATTTGTATTCACAGAAAAAGTCTTGAGAGTGAATATAATTTTTAAGCGTATTTTCATAATTTTTAGAATATTTTTTCTGTTTAGAATCTATTTTAGAATTAATAATTATTTTATTAATTAGTCATCAAGTGAATTATTATAATTTTTTTCTCAATATTATAGCAACACTCTTGCATCATGATGGTTTTGCACATTTTCCTTGTAGTTACTGCAGTAATTCTGCATCTGGGGCCACAATGCATAATGCTGATGTGTGAGAGTGTGTAATGCTGACATCAGAGTGTGTGTGTGTGACCAGGGAGGAACACATCTGCCGTAGTGGTCACATGTTCTAACACAGGGCTCACAGCGTTAAGGGCTGATGTAAGCCGTTCTGACTCACCGCAACCATCAAGCTTGCTGCACCCAGGGTGTGTGTGTGTGTGACTACACACTACACAATTATTTCTGTACATGTACTGTTTGTGTGTATGACACACTGTGCTTCATTTAACAATCCCTCAGTCACCCCAGATGAGACTGATGGGAAGTCTAGTACACACACACACACACACACACACACACACCTTTTCACTGTTACTCCTCCCTAGAGTTGTTGTTTATTGATTTAGGTGGAGCATGCTGCTTCCTTTGTGCATATTAGGACTCATTATTCCTGAATTACTTCCTCAAGCATTGCTTCTAAGCAATCTGAGGTCCCAAAGCCAAATGTAGACAGTGTTTTAGGAAACACACACTCACTTCATCTCGAGCAACTGGCGTGATTAAATGTCTGCACACACACACACACACATTCAATCAAAGTCTCAATTAGTATATACAGCATTTGACAAGTCGGGGTAAAATAATGGGGGACTAGGAGTCTACTTTCTGTTTTATTTTTGTTATTTAACTACTGTTTTATAATTTTATTTAAACCTTGAATTAAACTGTTTTAAATTTGAAAAAATAACATTTTATTTAACTTAAAATACAATCATTTATTGCTTTCTTTTATATAACTACATTTTAAAACATTCAATTAAATTAACATTTTTATTATCTATTAATTTGTCCGTTTAAAAATGATTTTTTTTTTATTACCATTTTTATGTTTGAACTCATAATTCCTTTGTAAGTGTCACTCCTAGTCCTGCATACGCATTGGGGCATATAATTATTTTAAAATAGTCTATTCATTTATTTATTTATTGCAACAAAGCTGTTTAATCTTCAGAATATCTTTCTTCACCTCGGGAGGTAAAACAAAAATTAATATTTGCTGTTTTAATTCACATTTATTTTAGTGAGGCTTTTAAAGCTTTAAAAACCTCACTAAATGTAAATTAAAAAAGCAATTATAAAATTCAACTGTTAAACGGTTTAAAACTCGATGCCATAGAAAGGGTCTTAATTGTTGATTCCAAAATACATAAAATGTAATAAAACTAAAAGCTTCATTAGTGGAAATATTACAGAAACTGGGATGAAATCGTTAGTGTGTGACATGGCTAGATATGTTTATGGTCAATTTTTAATAATTCAAAGCATATCTACTCGTTCTTTCTCTAAAAAGCATGGGATATGTGCCTTTATTGCCTTAAAGAAACTAATAGGAGATGATGTTAGTGATTGTGTCCAGAAAAAACATTAAACAGACTGTTCTGGTGTTGATGGTCTTTAAACATTAAAGCCATTGTCAAGACTAACTCGTGTGTGTGTGTCTCGTCGCCCTCAAACTATTTGTGTTGGTGGGACACGTGAACACCTGTGAAGCATGAAGAAAATAAATGTGTTTGTGTCTCATTCTGTGTTCCCTCTCGGCCCCCTGCAGAAATCAGTGATCGAGAGCATCGTCTCCACACCATGAAGGACGTGCTTCGCAGATTCCCTCGAGAGAACTACGACCTCTTCAAATACGTCATCACTCACCTGCACAAGTGAGAATGGGAGCCATCCCTAGGGCAACACACGATCAAACTCGCTCGCGCTGATGTTTTCCGTTCTCACCGTTTCTCTCTGTCTTTCAGGGTGAGTCAAAACCACCGCCTGAACCTGATGACCAGCGAGAATCTGTCCATCTGCTTCTGGCCGACGCTAATGCGGCCCGATTTCACCACCATGGACGCGCTGACGGCCACACGCACCTACCAGACAATCATCGAGACCTTTATCCACCAGTGTGCTTTTTTCTTCTACAATCAACCCCTGGCCGACACCCCCAGCGGCCTCCCCGGACAGCCCGCCTCCCCTAGCACCACCTTGTCTTCAGCCTCCTCCATACCAAGCTCTGCCTACTCCGCCTGTTACGCCCCACTACACCCCATAGCTCCACCCTTCAGCCACGGCCAACAGTCCCCGCCGCATTCCCCACCACACACCCCTCAATCCCCAATCCAGAGCCTGCTCCCTCCACTCCACCCGCATCACACCCCTACGGAACAACACACGCTGTGAACCTGCAGACGAGGAGGAGCACTGAATGAGATTCATTGAACGGAAGAAATTTGAGGAGATGTGCCTCACTTCAAGGGGTCAAGAGTCCATGAGATGCGTCGCCCTCTTTCTGCATCATGCTTCTCCATATTATGCTCCTCACACACACACACACACACATATAACTGCACATGAAGTGTGGTACCCCCAAACTCAGATTTCTTATGGGTCCGTAGTTGTTTTTTGGCAGCCAATGGGTTGCATGAACAAACTGGCTGAACCCCACCTCGTAATCGGGTGACCACTGTACGCAACCTACTATGATTATAAGCGGGCCAACTGGATGGCCTATATATTCATTCAGCTTTCGACCATTGTTACGATCAGATTACGAAATAGAAATGCTTTTTTTATGATGCAGCAACACAACCAACTTATTTATCTTGTTTCGCTTGCCTTTTACAGAGGGACAAACATCAAGACAAAACTAGAACTTGACTAACTGGATCCAGTTTTGCTGGATGGATGTATGTGGAATGCTTTTGAACAGCATTCTGGGATTTGAAGTCTTTTCCTCACCTGTATCTCTCGTCACATGGGCGTCCAGAACATGCTGGAAGACTAATGCTTCTTTTATTGCAGAATGTCCTCACAACCCTCGATTTCCTGTTCCACGGGGGTCTTCGACTTCGTTCAGTGTCTGTTCATTTGGGAGCCGTGTTATTTTTCTTAATACACGTTTGCAGGAAGTCCCTTAGATTTGTGGACTGCTTTTTGTGCAAATGAATTGAGCGGTGGGTTATAAGTTGTATTTGGAGGGGAGGTGTGCACTAAATCAATGTGAGTTATGGAAGGTAAAGGAAAGTTTGCACTAGAGGAGACGCTGCCTATCTGTACCTATTCAGATGGCAGTGAATCAGTGAACTTGAAGCCTAGAGGAGGAAGATAGTGGTATAGCTGGGTGGAATTAATGGCTTTCAGGAAAGATAAAGTCTTTAGTGTTTGATATCAGACAGGGCGATTTTATGCTGAATATGAGCTTGCAGTTAGTGGCTTTTTCAAGACTAACTAAATATCTGTACTTCAGAGTTGACCTCAGAAGGATGACATTGTTTATAAAACCCAAAAGTTTTAAAAAGAAAGATTAGCGGAAGAAGTTGACGTGACTAGACTTTTCCCTTTGTCGGCTCTTGGAGCGCAACACTACCACCCAGTGGTCAAAGCAGGTATTGCATGGTAAATCTCAGCTCGTTTTCGTTCTAATGCTACATTCTTGTTTGTTTTACTAGAAAATGCTGGATGCATTTAAAGTCACAGATTCACTATGTAGCAAAAGAAAGACTAAAACAAAACAGAAATCAGTTGACATTCAAGGAATGGTTTATAACAATATTCATCTGCACTTATACCTTGTCTACTCCCTCCAAATTAGATCATTATCTATGATTTTTGTGTTGATTTGAACATGGTTTTCAAGTGGAACAGACATTGTGAGACTGTGAATTAGTCACGAATGTATCCCACTACAGATTTCACTTCATTGTGTGCATATCTTTCCCTGTAATACATGTTAACTCTCACTAAGCAGTAAGTGAATCACAACTGCCCCCTTTTAACTTGTCAGTTGACATCTATTGGCTGTGATGAGCAACTCTGCTTAAACACTACATCTTTTGCCCTCAGAGAGCAGAAGTAACGGTATATTTTGGGAAATCGGGAGCTGTGTGGCCTATATGCCCCTGGTACTTTGTGTATGAATGCTGCATTCTCTGTGTATTTTCAATGTATATTCTTTCAGAGGCAACTGTCCTTCGCAGCCAAAGACTGCAAAAAAAAAGAAAAAAGATGAATTAAAAAAGGGCAGGGGAGACCTGAAAAGCGACATGACAAATGTGTATTAAAGATGTGATATTTGGTTCAGCAATCAGATTTGGCTGCATCACTTTATTTTTTGTTTCATTTTATTTTTTCAACAATGGTGACAGATTGTCTGTTAAGTTAAAGGAGAAAGGAGCAAAACTATATTCAGAATGGTTTATTTGTACGTTAGGGGGTCTGACACTTTGCCCTGTAGCCAATGGTGATAGAAAATGTTTTCTTTTTATGTTTTCTTTTAATAATTAAAAAATGAGACTTTTTTTAACTTTTTTTTTTTTTTGTGAATGGTGTAAAGGCCACAATGATGTAGTGCATGATTCAAGACCAGGTCAGGGAGAGGGCTCTACCACTCTTCAGTATTATAAAAGGAAGAAAAAAAATGAACAAAGAAAAAAAAAATCGAATGGAAAAAATAATGAAATAAATGAAGTTACATCAACAACAACAAAAAAAAACGTCATTATTTGCCAAGGAGTTGGTAATTGGTCTCAATGGGAATGGTGTATAAACAGTAAAGGCCTTCTGTGACCTGTATTATAGTTAATAAATCAATCTTGTTAAATCTGTCTCATGTCTTTATTTAATATTTGCTGAATGTGCATAAATTCCATTACATCTATGCTTTTTTGATCGCAAAACTTATTCGTACTATAATGATCTATACACGAGAAGTTGGTGTACACAATGTCACTCGTTTTCACTAATGTCTACAGAGAAACTTTATTCTGCAAAGATGGATTAAAGGAGTAGTTCACTTAAAAAAAAAAAAAAAAAACTTTTGCTGATAATTTACTCACCCCCATGTCATCCAAGATGTCCATGTGTTTCTTTCTTCAGTCGAAAAGAAATTAAGGTTTTTGATGAAAACATTCCAGGATTTTTCTCCATATAATGCACTTCAATGGGAACCAAACGGTTCAAGGTCCAAAAGACAGTTTTAGTGCAAACTGTTCAAAGGGCTTTAAACGATTCCAGATGATGAATAAGGGTCTTATCAAGCGAAACGATGGCTAATTTTTTTTTAAAAAATGACAAAGTTTAAGTTTTATAAGTTCAAATGGTCGCCTTGCTCTGTTCTGTGATGTCCTTTCGTGACTCTCCTGTTCGAACTCGTTCATCAAAATGAATGAAAAATCTTTTTTCGTGTCATTTGGATCATTCAATTAATTTCTTTTCGACTGAAGAAAGAGTGACATGGACATCTTGGATGACATGAGGGTGAGTAAATTAATAGCAAAAGTTTTTTTTTTTTAAACGTGAACTACTCCTTTAAATTGATCAAATACGTTAATATACATGTATAGACCAATTCACAAGATGTAAACAACACTGGTCCAGAAGCACTTCCTGTTTCAGTTTTTTTAATATAAGCTGGGATAAAATACAACCAACAGAACATTTAAAATTGAATCAAAAAGTTAAACAAACATCTTTAAGATGTTTTCTTTACATGTGAAATAATGAAAACAGTTACAAACTGAAACAGGAAGTGTTTCTGGACCAGTGTTGTTTACATCTTGTGAAATGGATGCCAGCATTAACTCATGCAATTAATTAAAAATCCTTAATGTGTAATTTAACACAAATAAGTGACTGAAGCATGCGTATATATATATAGAGAGAGAGAGAGAGAGAGAGAGAGAGAGAGAGAGAGAGAGAGAGAGAGAGAGAGAGAGAGAGAGAGAGAGAGAGATGTACACATTCATTAATTGAACGTTAACGAAAGGGGCGGGGGCTTAAGATGCCTAAATATCTCCTCTAAGTTTAGTCTTTTCTTCTTCCCAATGTAACAAATGATTCATATTTAATTGTTTAATAGAACCTGAACTATCATTAAAAGCAAATATATAGGCTAATATTGATGCAGTCTGAATAGATGTCCAGGTTTTATTGTACTCCAAGTTACGTATATATTCTGCTGTTTTTGTGATAGGAAGAATATTAAAATATGCATAATGACATGTTTTTAAATAGTTTTAGGTTAAATCTTGTTTAGCTGGACATTGATATTTCTGCCTGTCATAAATCACCCAGATATAGCCCCATTAACTAGGCTACTTTCTTTTCAGAGTATGCTGAAAAACGTCTCATTTCAGAACAAAATGGTCGTCCATACCGGGTTAATTCTACAATGCTCATTGGTAATCTGATTTCCCCAAGAAGAGTATGTATTATTTCAGGGTAACCCTGTTGTTGTAGCCAATTTTGATGTGTGTTATATGTGTTTTGTTAGTAGTAAGTTGTATAGGGGTGACGCTCTTCCATTTGCACACCAGGGGGCGTAGGAAGGGAATCACAGTAATTACGGAAGTCAGGATCTGGGGATTTTGTCAAGTCCTGCAGTTAGCATAGTGTTTGCTGTTTTTGCAGATGTACGAGGCGAGCTCAACTTCAATCAGAAATGGAAGCAGCGGTGTTTTTCAAGTAATTTTATGCATAAAATAAAGTGTTAACTGCATCCCATGGCAGACCTGATTTTTGCACTACAACGAGTTGGAGATGACTTCATATTCCCTCAAGTGGCTTTATTTTGTGGTAAGATCGCCACTAAACCTTTAAAGAGTGCGTTTATGTTATGTGACAGTTGAAATATTTATTATTGAGGCTATTCCATCTCTTTTGAGTCTGTATGTTAGCCTCTTAAAAGTGAAGTAGGCCTACCTTTTCTTCTTTTACAATATTAATTAGTCAGTTAAGTAAAATCTTTCAAAGTTTCCAAAATGAATGAATGCCCATATTAGGCTATTATATATAGCCTATATTAGTTTAAAAGAATAGTCAAAATCATGACGTTAAAGGATTTTAAAGAAATGTTAAAGGATGTAAAATAATAATAATAAAAAAACAAACCTGGTGTTTAGAGCTACTTTTCATCCCTGGGTAATTTTTATGTTAGATAATAGTTTATTTAATAAATAAGATCTCTCACAATAAAAGTAGGCTATGACATTTACATTTGACTTTTTTATTATTTACATCATCATTTTAAACAGTAGTTGCGTATGGAGTTTAAGATACAATAACAATAACTGACCACTAGGTGTCTCGCTTGTTGAACTTTCAACACTGGACCTTTGACAATGACATTCTGTCCATTTGAATCATTCGGACCTCTGACTCACACCAACAACACCTGTAAACGCTGATGAGTTATTTTCATTAGAGATACTCATCCTTTCATGTTTAAGCTCGTTTTTGAGTTTTAAAAGAAATGCTATGAACACACATGCTGTGTAGAGAAATAATAGACTAATTGTTATTATTAAACACTTAATTTATACGTCCTTATGTGATATGTGCTCATTTTTAGGATGTAGAAAGATTCATTGTTTGATTATTATTTTGTATCGGTAGATCAGAATTCTCGCCTACAACTTTCCGGAAAGTTTCAAAGTCTGAAGGTAAATATGTCCGGTTCGTCTTATGATCAGTCGAGGCACGTATCGCTGCTCATCCGTGTCTTTCCGAGTGTTGAATTCAGATGCGTCCGAATCCAAACGCTTCACACACCGCCACAGGTGGAGCATCCCAAACACACCTCTAACCAGCATTTTAATTCCTACTTTATCCTTACTAGTATTACTGCAAACAATAACGTTTGATTAGATAGAAGAAGAAAAAAAAAATACACAAATAAATGCGTATCTGGATTTATCTAACGGTTTTAAACATATTTATTGTTCAGTCTTACTGTGATTTTCATTTTCCAAATTTCTAATAAATTCAAAAATCATCTTTCTAATGGCCAAGGGAGATTTTAAATCGGAAAGTTCAAACTGTGGTGGGACAAAAATATTGTTCATAAATATATAAAATGTCCATAAAAATAAAAATAAGTTGTTTAAATATTGCAGTTTTATAAATGTTTTTGCTGTTTATATATATATATATATATATATATAGGATATATATTCATAATTTAATTAACAATTCAGAACCAATAAATATAAAAACTTTGTTTTGGCCAACAGTGATGAATAGTAAAATGTGTGACTATAACTAACCAACCCCAGGCTATCTCTCTTATTTCCAGAACAGCCAGGATAAGTCTGATTCCTCAGGTTCATGTTTGTCCTTAGACTACACATCGATTGTCCGGGTCACTGTGGGTGTTTCGATTCTGATACCTCGATTGATGGCAGGGCTGGGAGTAAGGATGCTGCTATTGATCATCTGATGGTCAAATTGATGAATGCCGCTGTAAATGGTCCTGGTACTATCAGCTGAAAACAGTCAAATTCAGCTAGAAACAACCAAGACTAAAGACTTGGATTCGTTTTTATATTTTGCTTTCCAGTTACTGCATATAATTAGGCCTACTTTTTTTGTTAGATTGCTTAGAAGACAAAATAGTAGTCTTTAAAATGTGTTTTTTTTTTTAATTTTTATTAAGTTTTTATTTTTTACTTTAATTATTACGTTGTTTAACTAAACAGAGAGAATCCTGAAGCTCATTGGCTGCTGCCTTTTTAGTCTTTCGGCGCGTCACATTCTGGGCGGTAACCCGGATGAGCGGCCATTATGGAGGCACTCGGATGTAAACAACAGCATGGACTGCACTGTTTGTGTACTACTGAACACATTGTTACATTAAAAAACGCAGAAAAAAACGTGGTAGGTGCGAAATCATATAGAGAAGGACTTATCAAGCAGGAGACAGTGTAATATGTTGACAAACTAAAGTTAATATGTGGTAACGTTAAAGGTCCGAACGAGCTAGCTTCTCCAGCCCAGACTGCAATTCTTCCTTCTATTTCTTATTCCGACATAGGCTAGGTTCAGATTGTCAGCCCAGAAAGGCACGGTGGCTACACATATTCACGTTGTAAAAATTAAATAAGAAAACATCTCTATTGCAAATGCAAACCCTTTCATCAGTGTCAATGTCAGTGCCGTATTGCCCGAAAGCTACATGAACTCGCAAATCGGATCTGAACAGTTGCGATAAACAGTGTGGACATCATTTTAGATCAGATTCCAATCGGATACAAAGATATCGAATTTGGACTGACATTGTGAATGTAGCCATAGTTATACGTTAACATTTTTTGCACTCTTCTCTTTAACTTTTGGCAGTCTATAGACCAAAACTCGCCTAGACCTACGAACACAAAACAGGAGCGTAAACATCGGTATTCGGTCGTTTGAAGAATGTTTTATTTATTCATTTATTCGTTCATGCCGTTTTACAACATATTAATTCATTTCCATGAACGAAAAAAAGGAACAGGAAGAAGAAAAAATCTTGTAATACTTGTCCCTATTTGTGCACAGTAAAAGAAACAGAAGACAAAAACAGCTGCTTCAGAACCAATGACGGAGAAAACCCAGTTGGAATGACCACGTACTTCTTTTTGATTGACAGGTAAGTTTATTAATTGCTACACTCTCTATAACTCAGTATAAGCTGTCTATAACTCATTATCATAAATTAAATAAATAAAACAGACGATTCTGATCAGCGTCTATTGTGGACGTGGTATCGGTAACTTGGCCTACAGTACTTAAAGGGTTAGTTCACCCAAAAATGAAAATTCTGTCAGTATTTACTCACCCTCATGTTGTTCCAAACCTCTATGTGTTTATTTGTTCTGCTGAATACAAAGGAAGATATTTGGAAGAATGTTTTAATCAAACAGATCTCATTCCCCATTGACTACCAGTATGTATTTTTTCCTACTATAGTCAGTGGGGAATGAGATCTGTTTGATTAAAACATTTTTCCAAATATCTTCCTTTGTGTTCGGCTGAACAAATAAACACATAGAGGTTTGGAACAACATGAGGGTGAGTAAATACTGACAGAATTTTCATTTTTGGGTGAACTAGCATTTATTTGAAAGAATGATGTAAACAGTAAATGTAGGCCTACTAAGTTACTTGTCAAGTAAAAAAAAATGTCACAAAAATACTTAAATAATAAACCGTTTGGTAACTTAGCTACATTTTGTGGTTGTAAATGTTTGAGGATACCGTTCATAGGTAACAGTTAATGTCAAGAACTAGCTAGTAAGTTACACCTGTGGTTGATGTGAATATCATTTATCCATCAAAACTAACCTTGAAACCATTTGGTTTAAAGAAAAGCTCATAAAAGTGACATTTATACTGATTTTGAACTTCGTCAGGGAAACAAAATAGTGCAGAGTGCTGCTAGTTTTATTTGTTTTTAATTTTTAATTGGGGTTTGATATAAAACTAAAGTATGTTAAAATGATTTCAGTGTGTGTATCAGTCCTTTTTAAATATTTCCAGCACAGTTGAATAATACTGTGATATTGATAACCGTTATCATTTGGTCACCATGATGGTGAGATATGAAACCGTTTCATCTCTTCTTAATATATTTGTGGAAACTGTGATACATTTTTACTTTGGATTCTTTGGTGAATAGAAAGTTCAGAAGAACAGAATTTAGGCTATTGGAAAACGGAAATCTTTTGTAACATTTTAAATGTATTTACTATCATTATTTTTAAGTTTTAGGCCTAATTTCGTACTGACCCAATGCATTTAAATGGTAGTGTAGCTAATTTTTTAAACCGTTCAAATACTTTTTGTGACCACTGTAAATTGTGTGATTTGGTTCCTGTTCTGATTAGGAAAAAAATAAGACAACTTATATATATATTTACCTCTTGGAAATCAACTTTCTCTGGTAGATTTATTGCTCACGTCATCATGTGTTCAGGTCACTGTTTTTTGGCACTGAAGGCCAGACAGACTACAGGCTGATGCAGATTAGTTAGTCAGTTCATGGTTGGACTGATTGCATTTTCTGATGTGGAAAAGAAATGCAATTATTATTAAGTTTATTAGCAATGTGGTTGTTTTTTCCCCCTCTCTTGCTGTCTTTTTTTCCGCTATGATTAATTATGCTGTTTAATTCTGAGATTCACCATAGCTCTCCTGTAATTTCCCCATGGTCTTCTTGTGCGCATGTGTTTTTTTCAGTCTCGTTTTGTAATGAGTCGTGAATTCAAGCGTCGAGTTCGGTTTCACCCCGGGGAGCGCGGAGTGAAGATGATTGCATTGACCATTCAGAATCAATATGGATGCCTGGCATGATCCTATAGCAAGTAGAGAGAAGTGAGTTAAGCACATCCAGTCTTCTCAGAGGCTGCTTTTTTTTCTTCTTCTTCTCCAAGTTCAAACTTTGAGTAGCTCCGTCTTCCATAGAATATTGAATAAGGTTGCCATGGAATGGTGAGCACGCGCGAGCATTGAAGCGGCCCCTGCGAATCTTCCTGCCTGGCTTTCAGAAGCCCTTCATGCGCACTTGACAGTTCCAGGTTAGCTCCTCGCCTCTCCACTTGCGCTCCCAACGTTCCCCTGGAGGATAACGCCAAGATCCAGGCCTTTGAGCCCCAAACCCAGCCTTAATCCCCACCATCGATTGCCCTGAGAATTTCCTCCAGAGCACAGCGGGCATCCCAGCGCTCCAGCCCCGCTGCGGCCCAGTCAGCCTCCTCTCACACTCTGTCCATCTTCACCGGCGGAGTCTTGCTTCCTGTGACGACTGAGCTAATTTCCTCTCTTTTTAGAGGTTAAAGAGGAACCAGGATTAAAAGACAATGATGTGATCATTAGAAATCAGCATGTCATGGGTCTCCTTGAGATGATGACGAGTAAGTCTATTATAAAGAAAAAGATTGTTTTTAAAAAGTGAATTGCATGTGGAAATGTACTATTCATGTTCATGTTGGTTTTCTAGTGTAAAAAACCCCCCCAAAAAACCTATAGATTTTTTTCAAAATTTAAATTTGATGAGTCCAAAGATGTCGTGTCATAAAAAAACTTACTGTACCCAACCTTTTGGGTATTATTAGTGTACATAAACATCTAATTTAGTTTTTGCTTGTTTATAAAATTTATAAATATGCATTCAAGTAGAAAATAGTATAAATAGGTGTTTTATACATGGATTTCTCGTAGGGATGGGCAACGATTAATCACGATTAATCGTATCCAAAACAAAAGTTTGTGTTTACATGATATATGTGTGTGTGGTGTGTATAATTATTTTGTATATAAATACTAACACATGCATGTATATATTTCAGAAAAATGTGTTCTTAATATATCAAATATTTATATTTATACATAATATTAATTATGTATAAATATATACAAAGTATACACATGCAAATATTTATTAAATATATACGCATGTGTGTGTATTTTTAAATACAAAATAATTAAACACACCACACACACATATATTACGTAAACACAAACTTTTATTTTGGATGCGATTATTCGCGATTAATCGTTGCCCATCCCTAATTTCTCGGTAACATCATCACTGCTTGCACGCACAACCGGTAGGCAGAAAAAAGACGTGTTTCGTGTAGTAGGATAGTAGCACAGTTGTGGTGTCTAATGTAAAAACAGTAATGTAACTTGTATATAAAAGCAAATTCGGACTGTCCGTTAGATTTTTTACTGCTAACATTGGCTTTTACATTACTAGCCTAACATGATAATAAATACAAATATCACAGTAACACTGCAAAATTAAAGACAGACAAACAGATCCAACTTAAATCACATTTTATTGAGTCAGCAGTTCTATACAAACAATAACTTCAATACTTAAGTTTGTTGCAGTAGCGGACCAACTCACCAATCTGGCTTTCTGCCTCTGGAAACAGGAAACCCGTGTGTGTGAATCTTGAAACATGAAAAAAGTATGTTTTAAAAAATATCATAAATTAGTAATGAATGAAAATTACATATTTAGGAGTCACACCACATAACTTTTATAACCTGAACTAATCCCGGCATGTCAAAAAAAGGACAAGTTAAGATATTTTAAGAGACTTAATTGACCTTTACACACAGTCATGAGGGTCTGCAAGGTCTCTTTATGATATCATTTCCTTTTTTTCTGCATGGTTGCAACTCATGACTTTGACTTAGTTGATAATTTTATGCCAAATGTTTATTCCAAAATGTTTATTCCAAATGTTTATAATATTTTAATGAAACCTCTTCACTGCTTTTTTTTTTGAGTTCATCAGCTGACAAAAGACTCCATAAGAACCAATAAGACCAGTACAGTTCACACTTAGGTAGACTGTTTCTCTGATTTAATTTGATCTGAGTTTAGTTAAGCTTATCATAAAAGCATCTGTTGCACTAAACAAACACATTTGTTTCTGGTATATCCACAATATTTTTATATACTTAAATTTGACCCATGTGACTGTACCTTGCCCTAATTAAGTGTGCTCTCTACCGCACCCTCTCCTATAGCTGCCTTATTAATTTATGGTGCTGTTATGCAGGCTGCGTGGTGCTACTAATGAAGGCTTGTATGCAGATGAGGGGCTGAGGTCGTCTCTAGAGCAACGCTGTGCTTTCTAACCTGGTGACCTCTACCATGGCTTTCTGACTGCTACAGGTCAGTGGCAGCTGTCAATCACTCCACAGCAGACACACATGTAACGGTGGGGTCATGCAACAAACACCCTTAGATTTAAACTCTGGAGGCAACGTACAGCTGCAGATGAAAACGACAAACACGCACCTAATGATTTGATGAATAATAATAATTAATAAAAAAACACACATACAAAAAATGCTAATGATAAGCACTTAAACACATTAACCATATGACACAACTACAAGGCCATAGGATCTGGAACAAAATCTTTATGGACCTGATAAGTACAGGAACGTTTTGTAAATAGTGCAAGTTATACAATTTTTCAAGGTTATTATTATTTTTTTACAAATATCGTACATATTTATAATGTGGCTCAAACAGTTATGCACAACAATAACAACGCCAAGGCCATGGGTTCGATTCACATGGAAAGCAAGAACTAAAAGCAAGAACCCACTTTCAATTATTTTACTTACATTTTTTTTGTAATAAAATATCAAAAAGGATAAACAATGCAGATTTATTTTTTACAGCCATCTTTGAGTATATTTACCAAGGGGGCAAATAATTCTGACCAGCACTGTGTGTGTATATATATATATATATATATATATCAGTATATCAGTATCTCACAAAAGTGAGTACACCCATCACATTTCGGAAAACATTTTAGTATATATTCTCAAGTAACAATACTATAGAAATGAAACTTTGATATATTTTATAGTCAGTGTGCTGCTTGTATAGCAGGATAGATGTACTGTCCTCTGAAAATAACTCAAAATACAGCCATTATTGTTCAAATAGCACCCTACACCTGTACACCCTACAAGGGCGAGAAAATTATATATATATATTTCATTTTCTCATATCAAATTAGTGCAGTTGTATCACCCTGACATTTTTTTTATTGTATTCCCCCCAAAATATCAAAATGAACATGATCATAGAAGAGGTGTATTTGAGCCATAGTACACATTGCATTTTACAAAACTAATTGTGACCCTTGTAATAATGTATACTCCCTGTATAAGCAATATTGCTAGAAATTAGAATAAGTCCACTTTCAACCACTTCTGTCCTAATTTCTTTGAGTGGAGGGTCTATGGGCAAGTTTTTTTTGTTGTTGTTGTTGTTTTTTTTCCAGATCTTTCGAACTAATGGATAAAATAAGCTTGCGCAATTTACATAAGAATGTGCCCAGAGACGACAGAAAACACATGGAGAGCAGTAGCTTTCGTTTCTGCTCTGACAGCCGCAAGACCAGCAGAACGCAGTGAGTGTGTGTTAGAAATCAGGAATGGTGAGAGAACATTGTGCTTGGTTTGTTTTTCGTCTTCAAACTAAACTTGGGTTTTCAGCCAACAAAGTTTAAATCTTGTCTGGCTAGCGCGTGTCCCATAATGTTTATGCATTTGGTCAGTAGGCGGAGAGCAGGCGAAAGCAATCCGGTCAAATACGTTTTTGACTACCTCTGGAAGTGGTAGAAAGTGGACAAGCTCAAAACGTCCTAGACCCCGTTTACACCTGTATTTAGTGTCATCATCTTAAAACCAGGTGTAAACAGGGGCAGAAACACTTTAACACTTCTAAAGTAACGCACCGTATACCTCTCTAACAGGCCACCGTAGTGCGGCCCATCATAGTACGTTGTGCATTTAATAGTTCGCATATGTGGCCTGTAATTTCTGTCAGTATATGTTTATAACTCGTCCAGTATGGGAAGTAAATGTGCATTTGTGTGTAAAATATGCATAAAATGTTTGCGTGTCTGTTTATATCAGTCTCCACATCTCTATTAGCAGTGAAGTAGTACTGCACCCCTCATCTACAGCTCATATCTATGCAAAGCCGGGGTCCTGCCAATCAGTTGCCCTGGTGACACGGGGCTCCACCTCTCCAATTAGACCTGACAGGGCAGGATTAGGTGCTGGGCGGGCGCGCGGCGACCTGCCTGCGTGTCAATCACGCGCAAGGCATCCGCTCGGCTGTTTACTGTCAGATCCCATCTATGTCTGTCAGGCCGAGTGAGACGCCAGGGGAAGTGGAGGGAGAGAGAGATCTGATCAGAATTAACTATGCGTCCCCCTGCAGACTGTTCTTTTAATTCATGAAAGGGGGTGAGGAGAGAGAGGGGGGAGGAGAGCGCTTAAATCCGCGAGTTGCCCGCCTTCTCTATGTTAAGAGCTGAGCTGGGCTGTTCTGTCTGATTGTGCAGTCTGTTTCGTTTCATTTTGACAGTCAACACAACACAAGAAACACACCGTCTGGATGTGTGATGCAAGCATTGCGGCCCAAATATTAATTATATATATATACAGAAAAATGTTTTTTTGTTTGTTTTTGACTGAAGTATGCACAAAGAGATTGTATTGTCGTCTGGTTTGTAGTGGTGTGGTAACTAAACACGTGTGTGTGTGTGTGTTGCTATTTTATATTATTTTATAAACAAGTAAAACCTAACCATAGCTTCTTTTTTTTTTTTAAATTACATGCATATTTAAACATGCATGAATTAAAATAAAATATGTATTGATAAAAAATGCAGTAAAAATAGTGAAATAATACAATTTAAAATAACTATTTTGTGTGTGAATGAATATATTTTAAAATGTTATTTATTTCTGTGATAGGAAAGTTTAATTTTCTGCATCATTACTCACACGATCCTTCAGAAATGATTCACGTCTGCTAATTTGCTACTTAAAAACATTTCTTATTATTATTATCAATTTTGAAAACCATTGTGCTGCTTACATTTTTTTTTTTACAATTTTTGATGAATAGAAAGTTCAAAATGCAAATCTAACATAAATAATATATTTACTGTCACGTTTGAGCAGTTAAAACATCTTTAATGAGTATTATTACAAATAAAATATATAACATATCTTACTGACCCCAAACTTTTGAACAGTCTTGTACATTTTTTTGCAAAAAAAAGCATTTTCTTGCTTTTGAATGAAAAATATTTTACATATTTTAAGCTAAACCTTGTACCTCTTCTAACCAAAAAGCAAAATGTATCAATCGCAAACAGTGTTGAATGAGTTACGTGACAAAGTTTAATACTTAAGGTTCAGAGTTTGTTCTAGTGAACAATAATAATTGTGATGTTTGTTTGCCTTAAAGAGTACCGTTAATAATGTCTTGCCTGCATATCCTTTCAGTCAACTTATCAGAATTCCTGTCTCAGCATATATTTCTGAGCTTCCTCTCTCTGGAGGGAACGGCCAGCTGCCCCAGAGATGTGGTCCCGTGCCCCCATAATCCCAGCGCTAGACCCAGGCAGACCCCCATCAGTGAGGATTAGAGACTGATCAGTGAGAGGGCAAACCCCGGGGCAACTGACACCATCACAGCAACCAATGAGAGCCACTAGGGAGCGTTGACACTGTAACCTGAAACGAACATGAAGAGAAAGACCTACAAATACACTCACATAGGATGGAACAGAGTGAAAGAATGAACTGGTTATTGACAAAAAAGATTGAAAGGCCCGAGTCGCATTTCTCCCAAGAACGTGAACGTACAATCCATTCCACACAAGCTCGATTTCACACATTATTGCATTCTTACATTTGTCAGAATGCAATTCATTATGATTATGTATGTGTTGCAATGTCAGTGTTGACACAAGGGGCGCTAGTGGGAATTAGCATAAACCCATTATGTTCTCGGTGCTGTTCACATCCTCGGACTTGGAATTTTGCGCTTCTATGCCAAAACTATTAATGCCCAAAATGTATCCGTATAATTTAAGTAATCAATAGGGAAAACCACTATAGAACAAGTAACAATGGCTATGTAAATGCCTTATTAATAAACAATATTTATTAATATTTATAGCAGAACTTTAGAACTTTGTTCTAGGCACAATAATCTGTTTTGTATTATTGTACTATAATTAAGCAGACTGATCTCATGAAGTAGCGTGTGTATGACACGCCAATTCGTATTTCCATTTTTGGCGTGCTATCAAGATGCATAATCGCTTTTCAGTGTGTTTATGAACACGGTTGACTTAACGTTATTACTGTATATATAAATATATGACTTACCTCAACCCCATCCCTAAACCTAACCGTCACTGGGGTTAATGGCATTTATGACTGTTCCCTTACCATCCTAGGAAAAAAAAAGATCGCTCCCCAGATGTAGATGTGCATTTTGTTTCGTTTCGCGCGGACATTTGACGGCGTGTACAGACACGCGGAATCACTCGACCGTTAATGGCGTAGACATACACGTGGGTACACGCGGATAGCTCAAAATGCGTAGAGATAACACGCCACTTACCTCGAAAGTGGCGTGTATGTTTACGCAAAAGTCATGATGTCATGTTGCTATTAAGATATTAACAAAAGTCAATTATAGAAATTATTAAACTGAATTACACAAGTTTGAATCTTGTAATTGCGGTAATTACGACATGGCGGGAACGCACCTTTTTCATACTATGTACTTGTAGGAAAGTAGTAGGAATATCATTCAATGTTGTAATAAGTTCAACTCGCAATATCCAAAACAAATTTTACAAAAAACTCATCAAATCTCTGCCATTTATGCAGAATCATTTTTTCTCACATTTGAAATGTGGTTTTCATTGAACTAGCCAAAGTCATGAGCTTGGTGAGTGAGTCAGAAAGCGCACGTGGCAGGTTTCATCCCTCGGGATGTTCTGTTCGCTCCCATCTCCTGTTTGTTCAACGTTTGTTTGTCGGCCCCTTCCCTATCTAGCAATGTGTTTTGCATGTAATTGTTGGCTCCCAGTATGGCATATTTTCTCAAGCTTTCATTCAACAAAACAACTGTGGGTTGTGTCTGTTTCTTGGCCAGATATGTGATATTGTGGGCTCAAAGCCTAACTACGGAGATTGTTTTTCATCCATCTCCCTAAACATAGTGTCATTTAAAGTCTGTCGTTTTTTTTTTTGGATGATAATAAATGAAAAGTGCATAGAATAGCGTAAGCCAATTGAAGAGGGAATACATCTGTGGTGTTTTCAAATATT